GCGCAAGGACCTATTACAGAAGACATCAAGACGAGACTCCAGGGCACTGGATAATGTCCAGGTTTCACTACCGTAGAGCAAAACTGGCATTATCAGGGCCCTGAAAACCCGTAGCTTGGTCCTTCTGCACAGGTACCGGCATCTCCAAATACTCTTGTCGAGAGAGTTCATAATCCCTCCTGCCAAGCCAGTCCGTCTGCTGACTTCCTGGTCTGACAGCCCAGTTATGACTGCACTATAAAGGTATGTAAAGCTCTCTGTGACTTCAGTGTCCTCGCCGCAAGCACATACCGACCGAACAGGTTCTCCTAGCAAGTCCCCAAAGTCCTGGATCTTGGTCTTGGTCCAGGAGACCTCTAGACCCAAGGGCTTCGCTTCATTACTAAATGCATCAAGAGCCACCACTAGGGTTTCCAAAGACTCAGAATAGCAACATCATCGGCAAAGTCAAGGTCTGTAACCTTAATATTGCCCAGTGTTGCTCCACAATGACTTTGAACAGTAGCTCTGCCTAGTATCCAGTCCATGCAAGTATTGAAAAGTGTTGGTGCAAGAACACAGCCTTGCCTCACTCCTAAACTGGCAGGAAAGAAGCTCGACAGGCCCTCACCACAATGTACAGCACTTTCAGTACCAGTATACAGGTTTGCTATTAGTTCAATAATCCTTGTTGGAATTCCTCTCAGTCTCAGGATCTCCCAGAGTGATTCTCGATGCATCGTATCGAACTCACGACGGCGCTCTACAATGACTCGAAGCGCAAGGATACGGTTTATTGTGGACTTACCAGGAGTGAATCCAGATTGCTGCGGCCTCTGATGCCTTAGTAGATGGTCTCTGATACGCCTCAGAAGGATGTGGGCAAGAACCTTGCCTGGTACACTAAGCAGTGTGATGCCGCGGTGATTTCTGCAGTCCCAATGGTCCCCCTTCCCCTTCCAGAGAGGGATGACCACACCCCTCAACAGGTCAGGGGGAACGGTACCGGACCGCCAGATGGCAGCCAGGACAGCATGCAATCCCTGCGCCATAGGTTCACCACCAGCCTTTAACAGTTCAGCTGGGATGCCGCAAATACCTGCTGCTTTACCACTCTTCAGCTTGGAGATCGCCTCCCCAACTTCAGTTAGGGAGGGTGGGTCCTCGCTAATGGGTGGATCTGGCAGCAGAATCACGGCACTACCCGCATCCAAGTTGACTGTTGGAGGGTCAATCTGATACAACTGCTCAAAATACTCAGCCCAACGTTCCCGCACCGCAACAGGATCTGAGACGATCTGGCCACCTGCTAAGCGAACTGTAGTCACCTGTGAAGAGGGCTTGGAATTCCGTTTTCTCAGGGCTTGGTATGCAGGACGAAGGTCATTAACTAAGAAATGGCCTTCGACCTCCTCAGCCAGACTCCTAATAAACTGTTCCTTGTGCCTTCTTAACAGAGACTGAGCTCTGCGCACCTGAGAACGGTGCAAATCCCGATCCCCAGCCAGACGAGCCGCACGGCAAGCATCAGTGGCTTCCAGTGTCTCCTGAGAGATTAGATTTTGCCTTGCCCTCGGGCGTTCTCCAATCGATTCTTGGGCTGCATCAAGCGTTTCGCGCTTGAAGGTGTCCCACAGAAGTACAGGGTCTGTCAGATTGTCAAGCACTGTGAAGCGATCAGAGATTGTCTTAGCAAACCTCCGAGCACACTCCTTCTCCTTCAGCCTGTCCAAATGAAACCCCCTAGGGTGGTCATTGGGCCGCTGGGGAGTTTTGAAGTGAACCCGGAGGGTAGCCACAACCAATCTATGGTCATTACCACCTATGCTGTTCCGTGTGCCTCCTGTGATAAGCAGTATTTTGGTGAAACAGGCGCCAGTCTTACTAAGCGTCTGTCTCAGCATAAGTACGCTGTATCCAGGGGACATAGCAACAACGCCCTCTTCTGGCATCAGTGGGACACTGGCCATCAGATGGACTGGAAAGCTGCACGCATTCTCTTCCCTTCCGCTGATGTCCATGCCCGCAGACTGGTGGAATCTTCTCTCATTAAGCTGCTGCCCAATTTCAACTTGAACAGCGGTTTCTCTCCTGCCGACAGCCTCCTCGCTTCCCACATCCTTCGTCTCCTCCCTTATGCCGGTCACCCGTCACATAGACCGCCTGATCCTTCGACCTGATCTGACCTCCCTTCGCTTCCGTTCTCCTGTCCTCTCCTGCCCCG